GGGCCATACTCGACCAGCAAGTCAAGAAACAACAACAACAAAAAAAAAAAACAAACTTACGAAGAGCGATCTACTCCAAGTTTTGAAGCAAGAGTGTGCGAAAATCCCACAACCTAAAATTGACGAGATGATTCTCACGATGCCCCAAAGGATCAATGAACTCCACGAAGCGAAAGGAAGATCTACTACATATCAATTAAATTATAAATATATCAATTCATGTGAATATGACTGAAAACTTTCATTTTTTCTGAAAAGGTGGTGTCTATTTACTTGTGACCACGCTGTGTATATTAACGCTTAACATAAATATATGAAGGCTTATAATTAATGGAAAACAATAACATAGATTACATAAAAGTTTACACTTCCAGTAACATGCATTATATCCATAACGTTTCTAACCTTATCAACATTACTTATTTAACTTTGACGACTTTTGCATTATACATCATATTTCCACCTGCCAATATTATTAGTGAAAGGAGAGTAGCAATTAAAAGTTACATGGAGTTAGTATAGTGCAAGTCTTGCACGTCTAGATAAACTAGCATTTTCTGTCTGTACATCTCAGGAACTTAGCTAAAAGAATTGGAAGGCCTGGAACCCTCTGGAGCAACCACGAGACCGGGGACAACTACACTTTTGGTCCATATACATCAATTTTATATGGTTTGGCAGCATAATCTATTCAAACTCATGGGTGTATACTTCGAGATGATTGATCCAGCAATTAGAGTGGACTCGTCTTCCTTTAGTGATTGGTGCGCAGTGACCAAGGGCTTGACGTCAAATAAAGTGAAAGGTTAACAGTTTCTCATCCTGTATAGTCTGTCTTGCATAAACATCTTTCCAACTAAGCGGCATCAGCTTACATTTTACATCCCTGAACAATTGTTTAAACTTAAATATCCGTCAAGTTAGAATCACTTTATCTGAGAATCCTCTCCCTTATCACCGATATGCAGACAATATTAGTTGTTCTTTTCAGGTGTGTTCGTCTTTCGTTAGCATCTACTTTTTTTTTTAACACATGAAAAAGTGGTTTTCAATTTCAGTTTTTCCTATTCTCAACTGTACCCTATATTTACCTAATGTCTTCACTGGATGTCCTGTGATAACTGTTATTTTGCAACACGTCCCAAGTCCATGATTTTGCTTGGTCGAAGCGTGTGTTTATTGTAAAATGGCAGCTCGTGAGAAAGAAAGCTGAAACATTTGTTTAATATTTCGCAACACGTTCATAAGGTCAAATACTTTAGTTAGCCAATGAGAAAGTATAGTTGAACTATTTGATTATTTTAGGGTGCTTCACCACTAATAATGGTTTTTATATGAATTTATTTAAGTACTTCTTAATTTATTTATTTTTTAAATGAACAAGGCAAAATATTTTTACTTTGGATTTTTGAATAAGCAAGCAGAGACCAACTGTATTTATTACTTTTAACTTTAGGATTACAAAAGCAATTTGTTAAAGTTATTTAATTTTTCTTATAAAAAATATTGATTGAAAAATTTACTAAATCACATTTAAACTACATTATAAAGTAACTAAGATATTTCCAAGAAAATATATTATAGCTACAAAATTAAAACAGAGGCTAATTGAATGGAGACTGGGGATGGTACAGAAGAGTGGACTTATCAGTCTTTAACTATACATGCATGCAATCAACACAAGTCCCTTTTGAGGTGTAAAAATTAACCGAGAGGATACTATCCGAATCCTAGTCATTAAAGACGTGGTATGATGCTTTGTTTGTTTATGATTTAGCGTAAAGCTACACGTGGCCTATCTGCGCTAGACGCCCTAACTTAGCAGTTTAAGACTAGAGGGAAGGCAGCTAGCTAGTCGTCACCATCCACTGCCAACTCTTTCAGTAATGAACAGTGGGATTGACCATCACATTATAACGTCCCACACGGCTGAAAGAGCAAACATATTTGGTGAGACGGAGATTCGAAACTATGACCCTCAAATTGCGAGTCGAGCACTAACCACCTGGCCATGCTAGGCCCAGGTATGCACACACACTTAAAGTCATTCACTCTTATTAAAGATTAATGAAAGATTGTTTTTCACTGTTGTTTCTAAATAATGTAAGCCAAATTTTTTGATAGAATACATTTTGACCTTATATAGCAATTCACTCACAGAAATGTTAAGTTTTGTCTTTCAAAGTAGACACTAATTATTGAATGACAATTTCAGTATTAAAGTTTTTTTCCCCCAGATCTACAGTTATATTGTTTACACGTTTTCCCTTGAAATGAATTTTGAAAGATAAACTGCTGTATTTGTTAATGTATACCCATACAAAAATTAGTACATATTTTCAAAAATTGAATAAAGCAAAGTATAGTAAGCCCTCAAAATTATCACTGAGTCACTAAAGGAGTCAATATTTCTTAAGAAACCTTCTTCAAAGAAGTCCCATCTCACACTCTTCAACTATCTTCTGTGTCCACCTTGGGGAAACGAGCCCCGGATTTTATCATTGTAACTCCGTAGATTTACCGCTGACCCCCGGAGGACCATTAGTTGAGAACAGTGTATAATTTTCATAAAGTCACTTCCATAAATTTAAACGTGAGCCTATTTTAATTGGTTTGTTTCGAATATCGTCCAAAGCTACTCGAAGTCTAACCGTCCCTATAACGCCCTCACAGCTCAAAGGGCAAGCGTGTTCAGTGATTGATAGTCGAGTGCCCTAACCACCAGGTCATTTTAGGGGGAGGGGAAGTTGAATATAGAATATGAAAAATGGTTTTCTCTACAGTAAAGTGAACGGAGGAGCGTCGTTTTTCTTTATATATATATACACACTTATATCTTTTAATTTTAATTGCAATAGGACATAAGTTTTGTTTTATACATGTATGTATGTATATATACATATATATATGTTTGTCATACATTGTGGTATTCATATAACAGAAACTGGCTGCTTCATTTTCTCATTTCACAGTTAGTACCTACATAAGAGATGTAACCATTTTTAGTTCCATTAGTCGCTATAGCAGTCGCGATATTTTATAAATGATAAATTTCACTCGGTAGCCACAGAAGCTGTTTCACCTCATTTCGAAAACAGTGTTAGGCCACTGTACCAGATGGTATTAAATAAAAAAAAGAAACTGCTTTACTTTGTAGTATTTAAATGTTAGGCATTAGTCAACAAAAGTAAGGTTCAAGGTTCTTTATTATTTCAATTGCTGTTCACAAAATTAATAAAAATATCACTGCGCTCTAATCATATTTTAATTAGATGTGAATATTTCAAAAATGAAAACATGGCGAATATTCTAGAAATTGGTGATTAGTAAAACACGCGTAATGACACAATAATGACATTTCATTTCAATCCTATTTCGTACTACGTTACTAATGTTATTTTTAGACATATACGCAAGTAACACTTCACATTATTGGTGGGTTGTTTCGGGTGAAACATCTGCTTTATTCCTTACATATGTTGTCTGGGTATTCACAGAATTCTGTAAAAAATAAAAATAAATACAAAAAGGTGACAGAAAGAAAACATTTCAAAGATAGGTCATACATTGTGGTATTTATATAACAGAAACTGGCTGCTCATTTTCCCATTTCACAGTTAGTACATACATAAGAGATGTAACCACTTTTAGTTCCATTACCATCAAAGAAGTACTTTTGGTTTCGAATTAATAAAAGACAGATATCGAGCTTATACAAGTTAGAGAACAAAATATCAATTAACAACTGTTTAAACTAGTTACTGTAAAATTATTTTTCGAAATATAAATTGTACCATTTCATCTGTTATATGTATCAGCCATAATTTACATGGGGACAAGCCCCCCTCACTTTTTTTCAATGACAAAGAAATGAATTATTTACATTGCAGCAGTGTGTTTAAAATCTTATTTCTCAATAATTTACTCGCGTAATCATTAGTTACTATAGCAGTCGCGATATTTTTTAAATAATAAATTTCACTCGGTAGCCACAGAAGCTGTTTCAGCTCATTTCGAAACCAGCGTTAGGCCACTGTACCAGATGGTATTTGAACGTTAGGCATTAGTCAACAAAATTAAGGTTCAAGGGTTTTCATTATTTCAATTGCTGTTCACAAAATTAATAAAAATATCACTGCACTCTAATCATATTTTAACTAGATGTGAATATTTCAAAAATGAAAACATGGCGAATATTCTAGAAATTGGTGATTAGTAAAACACACGTAAAGTAATGACATTCCAATCCTATTTCGAACTACGTTACTAATGTTATTTTTAGACATATACGCAAGTAACGCTTCTACATTCCTTATTGTTTGTTTCGGTGAAACACCTGCTTTATTCCTTACATATCCCAAAATATCTCGAAATGAAATAAAATGCCAGGAGACGTCCACAGTAAACTCAGCGCTCTTTGTGAGTTTACTTTCTTTTCAATGTAAATTAATAGAAGTCACTTACTGTTTCCTTTTTCACACGGGCAAAAGTCTACGTAGGAGTTCAGTTTGATCTGACCGCTGGTACAACTTTCTCCTTTAAGCGCCATCTTCTGACAAGTTCTCTTTTCGGTCTTACGACTGTAGAGACAACAACCACTTTTACAGTCGTTACTGTACCGGCACGTTGCACCTATCTCCCGGGTCTGATCCTAAAGAAACGGAAATCAGTTTTGTTAATCTAAATAAAATCAAAATATTTGTTGACTAACAGCGATAAACCCAATTCGAATACACAGATTTCCGTGAACTAACGGAGGGACGCGTCCCCTTGGGGTGCGGCCAGGGGCGTATTAACCAATAAGCTTTCAAGGTTTGGGCGTAAAGCGCAACAATTTGAGGGGTGTATCTTTGAGATTTTTTTTATTTATAATTGAATTTTAATTTATTGTTGTTCTCGTGTTGTTTATATATACGATGTGCATGAGAGGAGCTTCGGGCCAAAAAGATTGGGAACCACTGCCTTAAGCAACAAATAATACATACAACTGTACAACTAATTATTTTGTATTTATGTTTAAACTAATCATTCTTGCATTTTTCACGTTTAAAAACCAACTGATTTCAAATCTGACTGTGATGTGGTCTAGGCGTTGCCCATCGGTTAGCGTGTCACGCTGGACATTAAAAGTTTGAGATGTGATGCTAATGAACGTACTCAGTACTTTCAGTGTTATAAAAGTGAGTCACTTTCGTAATTCTGACCAAAGAGCCGGGCATAGCCTTTGTGGCAGTGGGAATTTATGGTTGGCTGCCCTCCCTCGATCTGTCACACGTAAATGAGGTTTTTCTAATGTTAAACATTACAATGAATAAGCAAAAGGACAATAACTTTTATGGTACATGACAACAGAGCATTTCTGATAAACATAATCTATAATATGGGACAACCATATTTCCTATACGTGAAACTAATATCATTCATGTTAGGTAACAAAAAATGGTGAAAGCATATGGATTGTGGTGACAAAAGTATCTAATATCACAGTCTTCTACTGTAAAACAGAGTATTACAATCTTCTACTGTAAAACAGAGCATTACAATCTTCTACTGTAAAACAGAGCATTACAATCTTTCGCGTATTAAAACAGATTCCTCGAACACCAGTGTTTGTTTGGCTGCTTCAGACTTTAGCACAAACCTACTGAAAAGTTCTATATCGCAGCCGTCTCTAATTTTGAACTGATAAACAAGAGGGAAAGTAGCTAGTCAGCAGAATCTTCCTCCAATTTTCGGACTACTCTTATCTACTCACCCAAGTTCCCAAAACGCAAATCGCGATTTTTTGGCGGTAACGAGAACTGCAGATCCACAGACAATCACGGTAATCGCCGATTGAAGCTTTGCCTTATTCATTTTGTTACTAAAATGAATATAACAGTTTATTTGCACAATAAGCTTTAAATTACAAAATATTTGCATGTATATAGATATGATATAATCACGAACTTTTCAAATATTACGTTGTAACATTAGTAACCCAGGGTGTATGCATGTCGCTTGATACTACTTCAGTAGCGCGTTTTTATAGCAATACTTTCTATGGTATCGTAAGGTTACAATGAACTCTACACTGCAATATAACGACGTTCCCCCTTCCCTTACTTTCTGATTAAGAAGTATTTAGCAGCACAAGTTTACTTAAATAAACTAAAGTTTATAGTATTATTTCTGCAAACGATTACAAAATAATTTAATGGAATGCTTGTTAAGCACAATGGGCTCTCGGGGATTAAATCACGAATTTTAGTGTTTTGAGTATTCAACTTTACAACTAAGCTCGTAAAAGGGGAGATAAAACTTATTTTTTTTATTTGTAAACACTTCATTCTTCTGCATTTGAGCTAAATACGTTTATTATTCTTGAATGAGGGTTCATACGAGGTAATAAAAGTTTAATAGCCTACGTAATCAGAAGTTTCGCAAAAAACTACTAAAAGTTAATTAGTGTCGGCTTGATTTGTAATTAGAATAACCATACAGATTAGGCGGAAGTTGTAAGATTTCGAAGAAATATTTACTGAACTTACTTAGATTAATGGTCCGTACCCAAAATTTGTAAATATTTTTTTCTTTTTGTAAACGGTTACTGGTTTATTCTATTTAGTGATTTTGTTATGCATCATTTGTGTTCTCTAGTTAATAACATTTGAACCAAAATTAAATATTGAGACCATAATTGAAAGGTAATTACTTATAAGTAAACTGTTTCATTGCCAAGGGATCATACACGTCTTCCCTCCTCAAGACGTTTAGTAATGAAATATTGTTATTTAGCAGTGAAAGAGTTAACGACACTATCCTCGTATAATTATAGGGCTGAGCGTGGCCAGGTAATTAGGTGTGCTCGGACTGTAAATCCGTCAGTGTGCTGCAGCATAAGAATTATGGATAAAACCTACTATTCGATCAGACAAATGTAGCCCAAGCGTTGGCGGTGGGCGCTGTTAACTAGCTCTTTAGTTTCAGTATCAGTTCAAAATTAGTGACTGCTATGCAGATATCCTTTGTGCAGTTTTGTGCGAAGTTACGAAACAAACAAACCTGTATAACAAATTCAAGAGAAGAACTTAATGCCATAAATCCATACACAAGTTAGTTAAAACCTATAACAAATATATGTTAACGATATCTTCAGCCACTTCAAGAAACTTGGGTTAGTCTTAAGTCCTTATATTAAACTAACAATGCAAAATAATATCTGTAAAAAGTCTGTATTTACTGAATCATCTGACGAAACCGTACGTTTCGAATCTTAAGGGCCTGGTATGGATTAGTGGTTAGGGCGCTCGACTAGCAAACAAAACGAAATTTAATCAAACGTATGAATACCGTTGACACACAAATAATTTCTGAAGTGTGTAACAAAACATAAAAACCGGAATCACCACTAGTTATTAAAGTTGGATATCAGGAAACGTCTTTAATTAGTTTTGAAAAAATCATGTAATTAACAAAATACACACAAATATTCTGGAGAAATAAAACATATTTCTTATAAGAAACGCAATAAGCTGTTTTACTTTGATACCAGTTCACGTGACGGCATTTTAAGTTCATATAAACACACACACACACACACACACACACATATTACATACCAGAATTTCCACTTGAACGGTCTGTAAACCCGTTCAGATATGGTAAAGGTAGAAACAGGTACAAAAAAAGACCACCTTTCACAGAATGAAGTTAGAGGTAAGAGTTCCATATGGCACCCCCACTCAATTTTACAAAAAATTCACCAAAGTAATATTTATGTATTAATAAATCATATTAATAGTATGATCTGATAATTTTAATACATTATTATACCACTTACTTCATTAATTAGATGTACAATCTTCTTGGGGATAAACTTTACAAATGTCTTGTATAAAGGCATCAAAAAGGCTACTTTTATCAGAATATAATATTCTCCACATGTATTCACACAAATGCTTGTCAGATGTCTTTGCCCTGTTATGTGTTGTTGGTAGTTGTCTTTTGACACACCACCACCGATTCTCTATTAGGTTTGTACATGCACCAATTTTCGGGTCCACAAAATTGGGTGGGGGTGCCATATGGAACTCTTTCCAAGTTAGACAGATAAATCAGTTTTTGTAGAACACTTTAGCAGTGTTTATTTGTTATGTTGGCACGGTAAAACTAAAGTGAGCTGTTTTAGTTAACATATCAATTAAAACACATATTTCCCTAGCTACAGATACTCACTAAAGGTCTCAACTACATCAAGTCTTGGTGCCTACATAATGTGTACTTACTCTATGGAATGAGTATTAATGTTATCAAGTCCGAATTCCAAACGACATCATTCAGTAAACAAATTCTGTATTATTCACCAGCTTAGTACGGTACAAGAAAGAAAAGCGCCAAATCATACATAACTACGCGTCATTACAAAACATCTCGCAAACAAGACACTTACAAGTTACACTGTGAACGTATAGCTTTACAATTACTCATGTGGTCCGCAGGTACGTATGTACACCATTGACTTTTTTTTAAGTACACTTGTCTAAAAATAAAACAAACTAGAATGTAAATAGAAGAAATATCTTACAGAGTTGTGAACGCTGTCGATCGGTTTTTGCACCATGGAAGACTGCGGGTGGTCGACTTTATCGCCAAATACATTGATTATGAGACAGATGCCCATAATAACGAAAATCGTGGTCCTTATAGTTCCCATTGTTGAAATTTATGTAATGTTTCTGAATCTGAGGCTGTTTAAATAAGCTTGAGTAACCCACACACTGCTCTAAGATTCTAGGAAATAATTAGTTTAATTATACCAACCACTCTGACTAAAGAAAGGTTACAGTGGTTACAAAGTGGCTGCGTAAGGTTTTCTGACCAAACTTCGTTACTTCAAGGATATTCGACGTCAGCTAAGTCACGTGAAAAGGAAACTGACCTACGTCAGACCTAAACCTGTTCAGGTAACTAACAATTATAACACTTGTCCCACTCAAATTCTCAAATGAAGTTTACTATGCTAAATACCCCAAGGCGATCCGATACTAGAACAAACTGGTTTATTTGGGGGGGGGGGGTAAATATTATAAAATTCGTGACAACAAAACTCTTTTTCCGCGTAACAGTAAACATTGTTAAATTTTAACAATATCCTGGATATTTATCCTGGTTTCATCTAACTTTTACCCTTACCACTTCAACCATATAACCCATTTATTTTATCAACAATTTTTCAGGAACTCTCGACCTTTGTCTTCGACGTTCAAGAATTTCAACATGCCTGTTAATCCTTTAACAATGTACTGTCAACGGTCACACTCCGCCAGTTAAACTTAATTAAGTTTCATAAAGTTTCGGCCACTAGAAGAAAATAACAATTCTCTTAAATAATAATCCTTAATTCCACGAGCGGGGCTAAGAGAAACGAAGTGTCTGAGCGCCCCTGATTATCTTTCAGAGAGGCCTGAAAGATTTTAAAGCAATATGGATTGATTGATTGATTCCTTTGATAATGCAATCGATGTCGTTCCCCCCGATTTCGTTTTCAGTGAATTCATGAAGTGCCAACGAAAGTTTTAAATTATTCAAAATCTTATACCTCGAAAACACTTTGATTATACTATCATAAACTAATAACAACGCAAAGTTTGTAAATAGGATTACAGCTTTGTATCAACTTCAAACAAGACGTTTTTGTTTGCATTCATCTATAGAGTATGCACTTGTGTTTTAACACAGTATTTAGTTACGAATAATAACTTAGGATTAAAGTTTACTGCTGTAAATGTGACGATATTTGCCAAATTGATTTTTTCTTCTTCTAAAATCAAAGTTTCAGAACATGTCAAAATACGTGTAAGTAGAGAGAGGGCTAGAAAGAGATTTTGCTAAATCTTTAAAAGCCACCATATTAGTTTAAGTTTCTACAACTAGACAAAATTGTCTTGAAGTCATTAAATCATTGTATGGCTGCCTGCGGAGTTACTATATTAATAAACAAGAGGGAATCCTCAATAGCCACGGCATTTGAAATTATTTTAGGCAGGATTAAAATAAATTAATCTGCGAGACATTTTTTCCTTTTTATTAGCTATATTTTCATGGGACAGCAAACCAAGCGTTGAGCTCACGTATACCCAATTCAATTTTATTATTCAACACAATCTCTACCAGCCTACCCTTAAATTGGAATGCTTCTAGGCAGTATTAGAGTAAATTAATATCGGTATGTGGTCAAATATATCAATCGAAAGGGTTTGACCTCTTGAGTCCAAAACTGTAATTAAATCTCAAATCATTCAAGAGATGACGAAGCTATGAGCTAAAAGTTTGTACTTGAAAAACAAAAACCCAGAGCCATTCTGTGAGCCGCTATGCCGCGGCTAAGAAAGTGTCAAATTCGAAAAAAAAAACAACATAAAATCACTTTACTTAATATATTTAAAAGATCTGACATAAAAAATTACCTCAGTTAAGAGGTATAGGTCATTGCATATGGGCAGAAAAAAGAAAAAAATACTGAATACTTGTTTCAACATTCCACGATTATTTCTAGTTTCATACTTGAGATCGGTGTTTTATAAAAGTTGTTAGATATTATCAGTCCATAAAGCACGTTAACTGTGTGTGTGTGTGTGTGTATATTTATATATCTTATATACCCGTTAATAGAGCCAATTAGTGGGGGCAGCAGAACATTTGACCCGGGTCTCAAATTTAGACACTTGTTATTTTTTGTATTTGTTAAATTTCATGACTTGTTTTTATGTGCCTCCCAATCGGACAAAAATGTAACACACGCTCTCAGCTTAGCGCTGCAAATTATATAGACAAATTAAATATTCAAATTGTTTCGCTTTTTCTTTTGTGTTAATGATTGTCTTATTTGGTTTTCATGTGTCATAATTTTTTAATTATAGCCAGGGACCTCAAAAAATAGAAGTGGCCCGACCTCTCTGTACATCTGAGAGGTCCTGCCTGATAATATAGAAAAATAACATTTTGTATTATGGTACTAATAAGAAATAATTCAATAGTTTTTAAAATATGCAAGATTATGATCTGCTATCTTATTGGTTATGGGCTGATCGTTCATACAATTGTTTCGTCAAATAAAAATTGAATTTGAAATCTTGCCTATATTTCTAATATATGTATAAATACCATTAGAGCAGTGAAAAATATTGAATTTGATATCTTGCTTAGGTTTATACTATATACAAATACCGTTAGAGCAGTGAAAATATTGAATTTGATATCTTGCTTAGGTTTATACTATATACAAATACCGTTAGAGCAGTGAAAATATTGAATTTGATATAGTGCTTATATTTCTAATATATATACAAATACTTATAGTATTTTGGCACATAGATAGGCCTAAATAAAATGTTTTTAATTGTATACCAGTTTAACGTTGAATATTATTTATGATATACAAATACTGTTAGAGCAGTGAAAAAAGTTAAATTTGATATTTTGCCTATACTGATATCTAATATATATAAATGACGTTAGAGCAGTGAAAAAGTTGAATTTGATAGCTGATATATAATATATACGAACTAGGGAGAAAACTCGTGCCTCGCGTACAAACATTTTTGTTTTTGTTTTTTTTGTTGTGATATTATGTATTTGAATGCACAAAGTTTATAGAATATATACACAAATTTCCTCTACCTGCAAATTTATATTTGATTTATTTATTGGATGCTACAACTGTAAGGAGAAAAATCCTGGTAATAGATTAGTAAAGCACATGTTTACAGTGGACAATGAGGTTGAGGTAAATACAAGCCTTGAAAATTATCGTAACTGTGTGGCACATCATGCTTGTTATTCCTTTTATTGATGTAGATCTTTTATGTTTATAGATATATTCTAGATATGTGCTGATCTACTCATAGAGAAGATAACTCTAAGGTTACGCCTTGTGTATGAAGTAGACGGCAGTTTTCTACAATGGTAAGTCAGATAATATTTCGAGGTTACACTCCTCCCCATTATTTTCTAATGATAATGATCAGTCACGTGGGTAGCGCTATTCGCCCTGAGAAGGTATGATGTTATAACTTTAAGTAAATAAAGTGAGAATTTCTCAGACTGGGACAGAAAACATACAGAATTTAGAGATCCTATACAGGTCACGAGCTAACGTTCTCCAGTAAAGGCAATTATCCTTTGTGCTAACTTATACACTGCTGTCTTGTGTTATTGAATAAATATTGTTTCATTTTGTTTTTGTGAATGTGTGTCTAGCTTTTTTCTTTGCATAGATTCAGTTAATTTCAGTGACATTGAGAATTAACTCGTAAAATTTTCTGCTCAACCAACCTGTTATACAGCAGACATATGTTATCTTTATTTACTCTTTGTAAAATAGGTTTCGTCCAAAACTACAACTACATTGCAGCTGTTATCTTTTTAAGCAACTGGAATATATATAGCTGAAACGGTCTTGAAATACATAAACGTAAACTTCACATTCTACGCAGAGCAGTATCTGAAAGAACATCTCTCACAATAACTGTTAAAATAAAAGTTTTGTTATGTCTGAAACTGAACTCCAGAGAGCACCTACTGGCCATGAAAACCGGATTCCGGATAGCTTTTCTCTTGTTCCTAAAAATGCAGAAAACTCCTTGAAGTTAGATCAGGAATCTAAGGTAATTCTTTAACAAGTTTGGCCACTCTTAGGGTTCAGTTGGCATGAAAGAGCAAGTTTGGGAATGAAAACTTAGTTCCAATATAATGTGCATTTCAAAGTTTTTAAAATCAATTTTCATTTAAAAGTAATTACACGGTTAGTCCAAACTAGAATCCTGTTCTGATGCTATTATAACCATTCTCGGGTTATGAAAAGAGGTTCATGTACGTAATTCTACAATTGAGGATCAAGGCTGCTAGCAAGACTGTGAAATAGCTACCTTGTTATTTCCCACAGGAAAGTGTCTGTATTGTAAGGGTTAATTATATAGTTTGGAATTTAGGCCAGCAGGCGGACTGAGCTTAGATCGCCGTAATGCCACTAATGGCAAACCAGCATTAAACTGATTAGGATACTTATTTTATCTGTCTTTCTACGCGCACATGCGCCATGAATCCATATTTTTTTACTGCTTCAAATAATAAATTCCATATTATAAAAATAAATCATCTAATAATCATCAATTCTTATAGCAAAGCCAAATCGGGCTATCGGATGTGTCCACCGAGGGGAATCGAGCCTCTGATTTTAGCGTTGTAAATCCGTAGACTTGCCGCTGTCCCAGCGGGGGGACTTTTCAACTTTAGGTGTTGATAAAAGAAAAAGAAGAGTAACATTTGTGATGGATCAAATTACTACGACCGTTACAGCTGTCTTTTATTTCTCGTTTAACAAGGAAATAGAGAAAGATGCCAGTGCCCAGTTGACGTTCATTACATTTCAATAATGTTCAGTATATTTGACCTTCTAACCTCTTAAACATACAAGTAATTTTTTCTAAGAAAGTATGAATGAAAGTAAAGAAGAATGAAAAACAATAGGTCAACCACGCTATATTTACTGTATCCAGTGCCGACGAGGCCTTTCGCTCAATGCCAGGGCTTATCAGGTCGACTTGATACGACAGACCTATTAGTGGTTGAGACGGTATTTATATTATAAAATTCCATGAACAACAACTGTTTTGGTGTGAATTAGATTATGTGAAATCATATAAGTTGGTGGAGTGTATTTTTATTAATTTTACGACTCACAAATCAGAAGTAGGGTAAAGATTAATAACAATATGTATTAATTCTTTCATCCCACACTGACTTGTTAGTAAGACTGAGGGTTTATAACGCAAAAGTTTGAGTTTCGATATTTGTTGCAGACAGAGCACAGATAACTCTTTATGTAGCATTACGCTTAACTACAAGAAAACCTCATTCTTAAAAAAAACAAAAAACCTTACTCCTTCCACTTACGTAATGACTTCATCAAGTAACGTAAGAGCACACATAGGTAATCCTGCCCATCGGCGGGGTGAGCCGAAGAAGTCTATCTCTTCTTTGTATCCTTCGCCTGCAGATATTTCACGGTTTTCGTGGTTTATTCTGCCACATAGACAGAATTAAACTGACTCGCGTGCGATTTGATTTATTTTAATACTGTGAAAGGTGTTACCAGCTACACTGTGAAAAGATAACGCGTGTTCAAATATATGCCTTCAACAGCTTTTACATATGACCGCACAGCCGTTAGTGAACAACACAAACAAAAATCCGAATTTCTTGATTTAGTAAAACCAAGTTAGGTCAGTGTTAACATTTTTGACTTAGCTTTGACTTCTTCTAACACGGTTCCACTTTTACTGTAGTAATATCGTGTGCAAACTAATTATTCAATTTAATACAACAAAACGCTTCTTTGAATAAATAAATATTTAACTTGCACGCGACTTGAAGTTTAGTGATGTACAAAAAAAATGTAACGGCAACAAACACTTAACGTTTGGGAAACGGGAACATAAATTTAGTAAAAATTTTAAAATTTATGTTTTCCATTTTCAAGAAGCTCTATTAAACAATGAAAAGATCAGAAACAAAGATTTTGTTTTTCATATGGGAAAATTAAACCTTTAACGTGCTTTTGACTGGCCATTATAAGCCACTTTATTGTAATTTATTCACCTACTTAAATTGGATGAAATTTGAGAAATACGTTAGATGATTTTTTCCATAACTTCGTTATCGCTGTACAGTAAGCTGTTCGTATGTAGCGGTTTTTAAACACTTACTACTCTCTTAACTCTTTGAATTACAAATAACAATATTTACTTATTTAGAAAGACAAAAATTTAGGGTTCGATTTCTGCTGTGGCCACAGCCAAAGTAGCCCATTGCGCAGTTTAATTTTCATCTAAGTAAGCAAAAAAATAGGCGAAATTTTTGTCTGGAGTTTAAACACAAAAATAAATTTCGAAACAAAAATATGTTAGACCTAAAGAATGCTTTCCATTTTTTATAGTTTGGCAATTTTCACTATGATAAAGTGACATTCGCAATGTAGGAGCTGTATAGCCTAGTATATTTGATAAATGAGCAGGAAATCACGAATCCTTCGTTAGCCGAAACATTTCTGAAATAATTTTCTGTGTTCACTGTGTCTTAATTAGGAAGACTTACCTGTGCTTCGAGGAGTGTCACTTCAACGCAAAACCGAAGGAGTCTTTGTCAAGCAGTTGCTGGTAGTTTTACTTTTAACAGTGGATGTTGGAAAGAGCGTCTTCAGTTATGCATTGTTATATCACAATGGGGATCGATATCCTATACCACAAACAGAAATGGTTACAGCTGTAGAAGCTTTAAAATTTCTGACAGTTACAATCATCCACCTCGTCATGACGAAATCCATCTCGAACCTTCGGCCATCGTTGATTTTTATGTTTCCGTCGTTGATTTATGCTATCACCAGCAACATTTTCCTGTATGCATTGACTTTCATAACTCCAGCCGTATGGATAGTGTTGATTCAAAGCAAAGTTGTCTTCACACTCATCATCTACCGGTAGGTCTTATAGTTCCATTATTCCTCTCTTGCGTTATTAAGTATAAAGCTCATTCTTTTACAAAGGGTTGAGTACATTATATCAAAATGATTTTGGAATATCACCATGCCGTTACAATCTGTGTAGCCATGTCTGGTCATGCTGTATCTGACGTCTTTTTATCTTGACAATAGTCCTGCAACGTAGTTGCTATTGCAAAAGGCTCTGTCATAAGACTGTCATGTCCAAGGTACATCACTCTTCCTTAAATGGTTTCCATAGTCTATCTGGTGGACGATGGTTTCTCAATACCCGGTTCAACAGTCTGATCACACAAAAAGCTATAGGCACTGCATCTGACAACTTGACTGTTATGTCTTCCTATGAAATAGCATAAATGTCCGTTTAATTCTCCAGTTGCTTGAGGTATGCTACAGTTGAACTAAAGTTATTACAAATCTTGGTGAAGTCATACCCTGTTGGCCTCGTTTACTTACAAAGCCATCATTTCTGTGTGGTACAGAGGGTACAAATAGATCTTTGGTCTGTTAGTAAGCAGAGTTCTCCTTGACCTTTTATCAATTCTACTAATCCTTAAGTTGTGTCTGGTAAAATATCAAGCAATGAAAAAAGTTTATGGTGTACCACTTACCACCTTTTTTACCCATCAAATGGTTACAGTTATCAAGGTAAAGATACGCTTGTTTGAGTGTAGCCAGGTATTGATATTTTACTGTGGCTAGGTACTGTTAATACAGTTTTTTACAGTTGGTCTCCTTTTCCTGGATATGCAGTGAAACCAGTTTGCGCACATGTGACAGAGATCCTTTTTGGTTGTGTTGCTTACTGTTGCCTGGGGCATTTGGACAGCCTTTTCTACTGACATTTGCATTCTTAGATTCTCACCTGTTACAAGACCCTACACTTTGCTTATCATAGTTGAGGTGTGAACTGTTGCAGGTCTCTTTCTGGATGTTCCTGGTGCTCCATATTGATCCATATTCTATTTTTTCCAATGCCATTAAGTACAAGGTATATCCCTATCTTTTAAATTCTAAATTAATAGTCTGAAAAATCTTTATGAACTGAGTTTTAGAATATTTTTTATTGGAAAGGGCTGTCACATACCCTTCTCAAAAGTGATCAATTTTCAGTGGCACCACACTGCTCTTCCTAACTCCAAAAATGTAGTTCTGATACATGTCATTTCACCACGACTTGATAATAACTGTGGTTGGCACGTAACTTGCTGATTTGTATATCCAAAATTGTTTTAATATAACGCACTTAACCCTCTGTATATTGCTGCTGAACTGCAAATATTGTCCAAGCTGAATTAATCATCTAAATTGGGCTACAACTTTTCAAATCTATGTGATGAAAAAAGTAAAAGTTAAGTATCAAAACTATCTTTGTCTTAGCATCTCTGAGTAATAAATTATTCAACCCTTCTACTTTTAGGTGTTAGAGATATATATTTTCTGCAAGAAAATGTGGTTAATTGCCAATTAATGAATTCACATCCCTGGGAGAGCTAGAATGACGAGAAGTTAGATTTGTTTAGTTGAGCGACTTTCTGTGTAAAAATCGAACTGAAAGAAAACACATAAAATGCAAACACCTGGTACCATTCTATACCACAATATACTTGGTTGAGAATCATGAAAAGTATTTTGAAACACTCTTTACCATGTCCATACTTCTTGAATAAAGCTTACGATTGTGCATCAGATGAAAGGAATGGAAAGATCAGTGACCAAAAGTCAGCATCCGAGTTAGTATTGCAATAGTAATTATTTGAAATACATAAAAAAATAGAATTATTTTACACTAATTTTTGGTCAATGATGTCAAAAAACAAAACTGCGGGCGTGTATATTTTTTTCCATCTGTTGTGTAGAAAAAATATTTTTGTATATGCAAATAAGATGATTATATTAACTCATTTTAACATATGGACTATTCTAATTATAAGATAATTTCACATTAATATATCATTTTGCTTCATTATGCCCACATAAGTTTTTTGAAATTTGACCCGTTCACCATATATATATATCACTTAAATATATTATTATATATGAAGGTATTTTTCTTTTTAAAACTAGTTCAAATACTCAAAACTACTGGATTTGGCATTATGGTCAAAGATGGAGGATTTCTGTTTTGTTTTGAAAAATAATACTGTGAAAGTAACAACATTCAAATAATATTATTATTTATATGAAATGCTCTTTTGGTTAAAAATGGGTCAAACATGCGAAAATGACTTTTTAAAATAATCTTATTTGCATATATACAAAAATCCTTTTTGTACACAACAGCATTCTCTCCGGACAATGTTAACATCCACTATTTTCTTTCTGTTGCTCTATTAAACTGAAATTGGTGTCAAAATATTAATATTTTTCTGTGCATTTTAATTGCGTTACGCGTTACAACTGGAATACCATCTCAGTAGGTCAATAATTTTGCTGGCTCTGTTTAGTTTTCCTAGGACCAACATTTTTAAAGATATGATCATTTTAAATATGTGGTGGTCTTTATAAGCACCTTGTGTAACAATATTAGCTCTATTGTTTGTGATCTAGTAAAAGTAAAAAAAAAATGTTTTTATTGCTAGATATGTTTAATTTTTCTTTTTTATATATACATCACTGAAACACTTCAAGACAATGTTCAGGAATTTCGCCATATTGGTAATCAGTTGTTTTTCTCATATTCTAGAACCAAGAGTGGTGTTTTATGTTTTTACACATGATTGCTTATGTGATATATGTATACAATACTATTTGATTCTCTGAACCGGAAGTACCAGGAAAAGTAAAGCTACTCGAGGACTATCTGTGATAGTCGTCCCTAGTTTTGACGTGATAGACTAGAACGAAGGCAGCTAGTCAACACAACCCACTGCTAGCTGTTAAACTATTCTTCACCAACGAGTAATGGGGTTGACCGTTACATTATATCGCCCCAAGGCTAACAGGGCGAGCTTGTTCGACAACTGGTTTCGATCTCACGACCTGCAAGATGCGAATCGAACGCCCTAACCACCAGGTCACTCTCCATATAGTTTCACTTAAGCTATTAAAAACTCGAAATTATATTGAAATTCAAAATAATTCAAACGTTAATATCCAGTTTAATTTTTAGCGTCAAACTTTAAAGTGGGTTTCCCGCACTCTGTTTATAGAGGGGAATCGAACACCGGATTTTAATGTTTTAAGCCCATAAACTAACCGCGTACCCACCGGGGGACATATTTTAACATCTAAAAAAAATCCTACACATGATTTGCAATGGACGGAAGTTATTCAGTTTACTTTTAGTTTTATGAATTTTCGTCGGAACCACACAAGAACTAAAGAATCGTTTACAGAATATTTAAGGCAGTTTTTTTACCCCTCATTTATATATGTTGATGTGTCATGAGCATCTTCTCAAAATGTCGGAGCAGTTCTATGAAAAAGTGTTTTTAAGAGAATATGGAGTACTTTTTCATATCTAAAACATATTCTGTCAAGTTATACTTAAACAAGCCTCTCATAAAGGAGGGTTTATAAACATATTTATTATAGAATATACATCAGTGCTAATTTTTACGAAAGTATTCGCGAGATATCGCGTAGATAAGGCATACAATTCTGGATTCCGCTGGATTCAGGACTTAAATCTAGATATAAAAGCAAAATTCATTAATTTGTAATGTTCGTATTTTGAAGTCTTGTTTATGTCATGTTTAAACAACTGTAATGTATTTTTGAACATTTCAGGTTAGTTTTTCGTAAAATTGTGACCTCTTCTCAATGGGTGGCTGCCGTTTTGTTTATTCTGGCTATTGCTATCAGCCAGATTCGTAGCCTCACAATGGAAGGAACCCCAGCGCCACTTATGGCAATTCTATTAAGCTTCGTCAACAGCATTTTGGCAAGCGTGGTTTCAGTGTACACAGAGGTGAGAGAAACACATTTTGATGGACATGTGTATTGACTTCATCAATGTTTTCTAAACCAGTTTTGCTGATTAAGCATGGTATTTTGCATAAATTGATTTAACCCAGATGAATAGACCCAAAAGAAGGATACACCAAGCATTTCCGACAGCACGAAAAATAAATGAATGAATATAGATATAAGTTGATTTTACAATATTTTATATATATATTCTTTGGTTTTACAACAATTACCTGTTCGTAAACAGTTTCGATAAATCGGAAGGAATTATTTTCCGAGTAGCGCCAAATCCATTTAAACTTGATATTACCATTTCAAAATATTTTTGTCTGTGAATATTTGAATGTGCCCTAAATTTTTGGTTTGAAGTTAAACACCACTATTTGTAATAAATACATATGTGGACAAATTTGAACCATTCAATTTTCTAAGTTATTTTTATATCTCTATTTAAATGTAGCGAATGTTTATGCTAAAATACTTTATTTTGACCTAAAGAAACACAAATGCTCTATCTTTGGGAGGCTTATGTTTTTTTTTGGATTATTTAGTGATAATAATAAAAAGTCCAGTACAAGTATAACAATAACGTATTAATCTATAACGTTTGCGGCCCGGCATGGCCAGGTGGTTAGGGCGCTCGAATCGCAATCTGAGGGTCGCGGGTTCGAATCCCCGTCACACCAAAAATGCTCGCCTATTCAGCCGTGGGGGCGTTATAATGTGATGATCAATCCCACTATTCTCTGGTAAAAGAGTTGGCGGTGGGTGGTGATGACTAGCTGTCTTCCCTCTAGTCTTACACTTCTAAATTAAGGACGGCTTGCGCAGATAGCCCTCATGTGCTCAAACAAACCATAACGTTTCCTACATAGACCTATCTTCACAAACAACGTTTAAACAAAAATTCGGAATATGCATAACTTTCTTGCAAAATTTTTTACGCTGTTAATCGTGATCGATAATAAATATTCTCACTCGCTAACTGACCAACTAATTTACTAACTTAACTAGAATCTTCATATTATATACGTTTTCTACTGAATAAAAGAAGCTTCTAGATATTGATAAGCACCCATTAGCAAACAAACATCTAAATTAAAATATTAAAAATATAGCTTACAACATTGCCCTCTTCCTTGATTGTGAGATCCCTAAAAAATCGTAATACATAAATAAAATAGTACATTAACTTAATTCCATAATAAACAATTGTCATTATTTAAAAATACAAAATAATAATAATAATTCGAATTATTACACTCATTATATTATTGAGTAGTGGTATTATCAAATTACAAAAAATTCCGATTAACAAAACAACATTTTTAATATCTTACTTTAAAGTGTCTATACTGTGCAGTCACCAAATCTTTTTTGTGGATTTTCTTTCCGAGGCTTATTGTACGCAGGTGAAATGACATCTTGTCCCCTTTTGTCACTTGCTATTCTATTTACTGGGGGAGTTCTCTCTAGAAAAGTGTTCAAGCAACTGCACAGTGGCTCTATCTTTGGTGATCCTCTGAAAGTGATCTCCATGGAAATCCTGGGTTCTTCAGCAGTTTGGTTTTCTACTGGTAACTCATTCTCTTAGGTTATCCAGTTGGCTTTTCTCTCACTGATGTAATTCTAAAGATAATCACAGTGGACTGCATATCCATTTGGATTCTGTATACCACGTTATTGATCATTTACAATAAAATACATACCCTTCTTGACACCTGCTTAACTTTGGAGTTCTTCCTTTACTGCAGCAGAGATGGTACAGCTCGATGAAATACAGTCTTATTAACATTATAGTGACTACTTCATATAATGATCTGTAACTTCTAGATGGCGCCTTTAGTTGTATATCTGTGACCTTAATGGATTCAAGTACCACCACCCAAATCCTCGTCTGTTATAGCATCTACAAATAGGTCACGTTCCAACGAAGCCATCATTTCAGGTGGAGCATCTGAGTAAGATAACTGGTAAAACTTTCTAAATCTTCCACAAGGTTGGCTAAAATTTCTTATTTCCTTCATAATCTGCCCATGAACTTTATTTTTGATACTTCCTTCTGGCGTGTCCATCCAAACCTGTTGATAAGGTAGTTATCAAATGTTTTATTCTTATATTGATATTCTTTAATACCTCATTGATCTTGCTGTTATTATCTTTCCTTACTCTTAAATGTCTCTCTGTACTTCTTCAATCTTCTTTTAGTTTTCTGTTTTGTTCTACTAATTTTCAGTCTCTTTGTTATTGATATTATTTTAATGTACTGTCTTTTCTTGCTTGTTATTCTTTCTGCTATTTCATTATCTCCAGCATATTTTCGAGCTCGCTTCGTGCTAGTATTGTTATATTGAATTTGTTGAAGTTTAGTGAAAGGCCTATTTTAATTTCACTGAAATAATCCCACTTCTGACATCAGTGTTATAGCATGTTCTATATTTGGATGGGCTCTTTTGGCTATTTGGTAAAAATAATGTGAATTCCATCCCACGTAATGATAACAAGTTAATTTATTTCTTCTATAACATTTGCTATAGTCTACATTCACTGGTAGGCCTAACTTCACAAACAACTTACAAAACTTTCCTCGATAATCAATCCATAAAAACACGCTTACTGAATATGTTACTAACTGACCCACGAACTCACTAACTCTTACTGTCTAACTCACTAACACTAAACTTATCAACTTATTAACTACCTTAACTCACAATTATATATTGTACTCCTTTTTCTAATCACTACAGGAAGCTCCTATATGATGCGTCATCATTATGTCATGAGAAGCTTCCTCTAGCAACCAAATATCTAAATTAAAAATATTAAAAACGTATTTTATGACACTGAATTGTAATCCATTCTGAAATTTAACCATATATAATGTACCTAATCTACAAACAAGTGGTTAGTTTCTACTCACAACAGTAATTTAATCCCTGTAACGCTTGAAACATATTGTTATATGCTATATTTTCAACGTTCAAATTTAGATGTTAGCTTAAGCGTACATGACGTTATGATCAAGTACATTTGTGGGAGTATTCTTACAAATTTCTAAATTTTACGTCACGAAAATCTAGTCAATACGGTGAGTATCGTGAAATGAGAGGAGATTAAAAATGCGAGAATCAGTGAAGTGTTGAGTCACTTATAGTTAGTGTTTATGTTTTAAGCTAGAAGTAAATAGTGAATGAATATTGTATTTATTTACAGTCATTTAGTGATGATTTAGTGAAGTCAGTTATCGCGTATATTCAGTTACTTGATCGTTCAGCTCTGAAACTCAACAAGTAAGTTTCTTTTTTACGTTACTCGTAGTACAGCAAGTAAGTTTCCTTTTACGTTACTCGTACTACAGATAGCATTCTATTTCTTTAGGCCTAAAAGTCACAACAGCGTACAACTACAAATAAAGGTATCTTGTACAGATAGCCCATTGTGTAGCATTGTGCTTAACTACAAACTAGAAACAAACAAACGGCCACATCGTAGATATTAATCATTGATAGGGGTATAATTAGTGAATCAGTAGAGTTTGCTAATGTAATTTCTGGATGTATTGAGGATTTTGAGGTACTACAGAGTCAAGTGGACCAATTGCTAACTTTGACAATTAGTTGGCAAATGACTTTTAATACAATAAACATTTTGATTATATGTTTAATAGAGATGAAAAATTGAGACTCCACTCAATAGCATCATTGAAGTAAAAGGTCTTAGCATAGTGTTGGATAAGTAACTCAAACCATCGAGGCACTTTTCATTTTTTAGTAAACCTAATACAGTTTTAGGTTGTATTTAAAGACATATTGTTACAAGTTACAGCCAGTCTCTTTCTCTCTCTGTTTTTATATTATATTTCTTATTAAGCTGTGCACCCACAAAGTGAATAAGTTGGAAATGGGTCTGGATACTAGCATTTGTTTATAAGAGTTACAGCCAATGTCCTCTCTGTTTTTATATCATTATTTCTTATTAAGCTGTGCACCCACAAAGTGAATAAATATGTTCATACATTAAATATTTCTGAACCTTTAGGGTTAGCCTATTACCACAACTGCAATAACATAATGATTTATCACCAAATTATATTAATTAAAACAGCATTTTTTTTTTCTAAATAAATTAATTTGCTATGATGTTTACCCCTAGACCAATTTTGGGAAAATGTGTATTTTTCACAATCGGTTATTAAAACTCTTTGAAGCTAAGATCATTCCTTAAAATGTCATTAGCAGTTTGGGGCTGGATTAACTTCTTAGTAATCTAAGAGTAAACATACATGTAACTAATAATCAGTAAATAAATTATTTGGATTTAAAAACAATTTATTTTAGTGAAACAACATAGTTGGCATTTTTTATGTACCTGTTGATGCAAGGTTAAATTGGTGAAACGTTGTAACCGTTCAAATAATACCTGTTTATCCAATACTAAACAAGTTCTCCAATTGTGTATTACGTTTACAAACAATACATTAGCGAAAATGTGCCTTATTATTTATAGTTTTGGGGCACTTAGGAAGATCCTTGTTTGACTATTGATTGTACAAGATAGTGTGGTGCACCTTAGAAGCGAAAACTTGAAACTATGTTTTGATGTTTCAAATCATTTAGTGAGATTCATGTTTCCTAAGTATGCACAATACTTATTATTTTTATGGGATACATGGGTTAAATAGTCATGTCAGAAATATTCAGAACACTCTCACACAGAAAATACGGAATGTGTTCAGGGGCACATCACGAGATCAAATCTTGGAATTTGCCATTCGGAACTCGGCCACTTGAGAACACGTGGCTTTGTGAAGAGTTTCCGCTCTGTCAACTTGTCAAGCACTGAAGAGTTCTAAGTTTTTGAATATTTTACTGTAGTTTCATTGAATTCATTTTAGAAAATCATATTGTACAACTTTTTATTACAGGTCCTTTTTAAGAATGACAGTCGCAGTTTCTGGGAGCAGCAAATACAGCTGTATTGTTTCGGCACCGTCTTAAATTTAATATATGTACTTCTGACTGGCAATTTGAGGGCAGTGGCTTCAAGCTTTGTCAGTGAGTTTATTTACTTAAGTTGTTATTTGACGTTTAATGGCGCTTTTTCCTATTAGTGTGTTTTATATTTAAGTAAAATATTTGTATCTCTACATCTACTCTATATTTTGACTCGAATGAATTTTACAAAAATGTTTACACAACATCAGTAATGGCCAATGATTTTTTTATTTATTTGTAACATTTACTCGAAGGTGATCGAAACATCTAGTTCGTGCAATATAGGCCAGGTGGTTAACGTACGCGGACTGTGAATCCGAGGGTATGTGGTACGCGTTCATTTACCACAAATTTGCGCTTCGCACTCTGAGACCTTGGGCGCACTGTAAGGGTGACGGTCAAATCCCACTATTTACTAAGACAAGACTATCCCGGTAATTGGCTGTGGAGGATGTTGACCATCTGCTTTTTCTCTATTGTCTATTAGCTCAAAATTAAGGACGACAATGCGCAGATGGCCAAGTGAAACTTTTTATGGAGTTATCTATTCTAAAAGGCAGAATTTATGCTAACCCCAAACCTCGAACTATTAATGAGCTCAAGGTCAGTATCCGCCGGAATAATCTGAACATCCCCCCTACAAACATTCCCTGAAGTGATGAAAAATGTGACAGTCCGAATGGAGGCTGTTATCGGTAACCATGGAGCCTATGTTGAACATGCGGTGTGAACAGGGATTATGGGAGCATAAACTTTGAACACTAGTCTTTAAATAAATGCATTCACTATTTGGTAATCACCAGATTTTGTACTTTGTTTCGGCCACATTAAAATGTGTACCTTTTTTTGGGGTAACCCGATATATTGTGCGACCGCCCTCTCCCTCTCTGAAACTCAATACTGTGGGTCTAGGAGATCTGTTGCCTCCTCAAAAAGTATTTTAAGAGCCAGGTCCTCCTGGGTCTTTCCCTTGTTCCTGAATATACTAATTCTAGGAATGGCTAATTTTAGAACAGATAACTGCTTTTATTCAAAGTAAATCTTAAAACAAAGTATCTGTATTATCTAAAGGGAGGAAAGCTATACCCATTATCGACAAAGTTTTAAATGATCAAACATTTTTTTAAAGCTTAACAAGGTAACCTTTATTATATGAATTAAACCAGTTTTCGAGATATGTACGTGACTCCTACCTACCATTATATATTGGTTACTATGATCATGTCTCCTACTTTAGTAAAACTTCATGGAAGTTTATTCAGATTTATAAACAAGCTGTTTGTGTTTAACTTTAAAAGTTTATGAAACTATAAATTTACAGATTTTACGTTTTATAACAATTTGAAATTGCACTAATTTTTTTTTTTGTATTATTACTCTAATGTTTCTTATTTTTCTAGGTTGGTCTAATATCACCAAGTCATTACTGGTATTAACCGTTGTCACAACCGCAGCTCAAGGAATTACTATGGCTGTCGTTATGCGCCAATTGGATAATGTTGTCAAGTTCTATACGGCTGCATTAGCGAACATTATGACTGCTATCGCTTCAGCTTGCTTGTTTCCAGACAAGTTTGTTCTGGATATAACCTTTATTTTTAGTTTATTAATTTTAATATTTGCCATCTATTTGTATGAAAATAAAAATTTCAACTTATTTTGCCCAGAAGCAACGGACAATGAACAGTAGTCCTAGGGATAATGTATTAAATAATTATAGATTAAAATGATGATTAAGATAAGTTTAGGTGTTGATGAACATATATTTTGCAGTCTGAAACCTGGTCTTCAAACAGTTACAAGTGTTTGTTTGTTTTTGAATTTCGCGCAAAGCTACACGAGGGCTATCCGCATTAGTCGTCCCTAATTTAGCAGTGAAAGACTAGAGAGAAGGCAGCTTGTCGTCACTACCCACCGCCAACTCTTGGGTTACTCTTTTACTAACGATTAGTTGAATTGACCGTCACATTATAACGCCCCCACGGCTGAAAGGGGCGAGCATGTTTGGTGGGATGGGAATTCGAGCCCGCGACCCTCAGATTGCCAGTCAAGCGCTCTAACCCATGGCAAGTGAATGATGTTAGTTAACCACACAAAACAAACGTGTAAATGTTACTATGAGGTGAATTTAGTATCCTGTACGAACTGGTTAGCGTGTTCGGTTTATGGTTCCAGCTCATTCCACTTTGGGGGCCGAGGGTGTGCTATATGAGCGACGGTCAAATTCACAAAACAAATAGTCCACAGTTGCTCAGCGGTAAGACTGCGTACTTATAACACTAAAACCGGGTTTCTATACCCATGGTGGTCACAGCACAGATAGCCCATTGTATAACTTTGTGTTTAACAAAAAACAAACAAACTAATTCCGAATGTGCTTCCTACTTCGAAAAAAAAATTATTTACGAAATAGACTGTTCGTTTTTAATGTTCAAAATATAGGAATTGAGGTCTAACGCCCTGTGTTACTTCCCTAACGCCCTATGTTACTTCC